ATTAAAAGGCTTGTACGCAATTTGTTCAACCAACCGGTTCCGCCATACGTTCCATTTTCCCAAGTACATCTGTGAAAGTGCCTAAGATCACTATCACTTTCCTCTTCTATGTGACCTTCGGCGGCACTCAAATTACTGCAGTCCACACAGTTCTTGAAACTTATCTGAACAACTTCATTTTTAATGAAATAAAATGAAAGGATTGTTATTAATGATCGATTTTACGCCAATCAATTACAAAACTACTGAGAAGTGAATAAAAAGAAGGGATTGCAGTTCTTATTATTATTAGTATTATTTAAAAAAAGCTTACTTGTCTTCACCCAGAACAACACCAAATCCGATATGTTCTACCCTTTGAACAGCGGGTCTGTAGAATCCGGCTTGTTCGGCGGCGGAGAAGATTGTTTTGAAATGTACGCCCTAAAATGAAGAGAAGATTCACTAATACACTGATACAATGATTGATTATATATATATATATATATATATATATAATAACATCAGTTATGATGGTGCTTTTACTCGAAGAATCTTCTGTGCGACTGCAAAAACGTTTTGAACAAAGAGATTCAGTTTCAGTTTTTACAACCATTAATCGTGCACAATGGATTACTGCGAACCATAATTGTATTACAAACGTGGGGTTCAGCCGGACTAACGCACTAACAGGACAAGTGCGTTCCTTCGAGGATATAAAGAACTTTTGTGAAAAAGAAAACACGAAAAATCCGGTTCACCGAGAGATATTAGGCTACTCGTGAGGTTTTGAGTCCCGCTGTATATTACGGCCCGTACCTCGATAGGGGGACCATCAGATCGGCTCAGTTTGGACAACCATCAAACATGCATATTTGTGCGCCGATTTGGGTTGCCATCTTTCGGCTGCCAATTTGGATGAAAATTAGGAGAAACACAGGAAAGGTTGAAAGTAGGATCGAAGGGAATATTGAAAAGTTCAGTGGATTCATGATACAGAGAAATTGAGAAGATGTACGAACGCCACTGTTTACGACACCCAACCATATCACTCAGTCTCTAACCATCGGTTACGATCACCCCGAAGTCCCCAGCCAGGACGCCTAACAGGACCTATGTGACCCAGTTTCCTGGTTAGGGTTTTCAT